AAATGATGGATGAATCTTTCAATAAAAACTGCTACATACATAAAGTCTCAAACTCAAGATCTTACTTAAATTAAAATAAGTCACTTACTACTTGATCAAACTCCTCGTTGTTATCCAACCACTTTATTACTAACCAGAAAACGAAAATTCCAAGCCTCTTCTACTTACCAAACCCATCCAAACCGCCCATTTTGCCTGTGATGATGTCATAAAATGTCAGAATTCCGTTTCCTCTTCCGTTACTCCGTCAAACCTTGCTTACGTGGAGCTGAGCTGCACAAAATTGTTAATTGTCTGACATGGACTTTGCAAAAATTAATAGATTTAATAATTAAATCCCACTTAAATCTTTTTTTTTTTTCTTTTATAAAAGAGATATATTATTGCTTAGTAATCAGAAACAGGACATAAAGCAGGGTAGAGAATCGAACCAAACACCCTCCCAAGGTGGAGAAGGAGACAAAAGATGTGCCAGTCTCTGAGCCAACACATTGCAATCTCTCTTTACATGTTTAATGCAGAGAAAAAATAAGACTTTCTAGCTCGAAGTTCCTCAACAATTGCTCCCAAAGGAAGATGCATTCATCGGTAGGGTTGGCTATAGCTACAGCCTATGCACTATCATATTCAATTTCAACTCTTTTGCAGCCAAATTCCTTTACTAATTGTAGTGCAAAATCAATTGCCATAACCTCAGCTTGAAGAACTGACCCCTTGAAAGTGCAGTTTATTTGTGCAGCCCCTAAAACCTTACTTTCACTACTCCGGATGACAACTCCTAGACTGATTGTGTTCTGATTTTGTGGGACAGCAGCATCTGTATTAATCTTTATTATATCCCCCTGTGGTGGTTGCCAGACAACTGGCGAAACTCTATTCTCCAACTGTCTGATCTTGTTTCCAACTTCAGCCGCACTTTGTGTATTCCGTGATGTATTTTGAGATCCAATGAACCGTAAGGTCATGTTTTGAACATCTATGCTGAAAGGAGCAACTGTTTCGGTTGTTCCATATGCTCCACAGTGTAACTGCAACACAGTCCTTAATGCTTTCTGCTTAGCATTAGGAAAGAATTCAGAAAATCACGTAGATAAGAATCAGACCTGATGTTGCTTCTACCAAAGAAAGGACAAGAACCTGCCCAAACTTGTGTACTCCAGTGACATTTAAAAAATAAATAATAATTGGATTCCTCATTCTGATCACATACACACAGCAGGACCTATCAATATCCACACCACGGTTCTGTAAAGCCACTTTACACAGCAAGATTTCCCAAATAAACTTCCAAAGAAAATGTTTGCTTAATTATGTGGAGCATATCCAACTACTTGGAGCACTTTTCACCTCACTAAAATAATCATTTAGGTTGTGTTTGGGAACTTAAATTTGAATTTGATGGGTGTAATTGAAATACATGTATTTAAAATACATGTATTTAAAATACATTTATTTTGAAATACATTGTTTGGATTGAATTAAAAAAAATGAATTTCAAATACATGTATTTTTAAATACATTGTTTGGATATTTTAAAATACTATGTATTTAAAATTGAATTT